ACGAACAATTGAACATATATCAGCGTGATAACAACTACCTTAAATGAAAAAAACCATCTTTTGGAAAATTGTATTGGAAGCTAAATTAATTTTTTTATTTTGACTCAAGTCCCATTCGTTTACATGGAGAGGGCGGGGTTTATGACCTGTACTGCAGCCAGCCACCAGGGGGCGATGAAAGAGCCCGCAGCTTCACTTTTCAGGACATGTGAGGCATACCCGCCCCACACTCTGAGAAACAGACTATGGGGGGAATCACAAGGAGTCTTTGAGCCACCACACTGAAAATAAATGCATGTAAAAAGGCGGACAGACAGATCTCAATCACAAATATCATTTTATTCCTGTTTGTTAGTTCTTAATCTTGACATAACACAGGTTTGCATTAACAGTTAGACCATCATTCATACTTTTTTTTTTTTAAATCATGCTTTTCACTACAAATAACATTGCACAAATTCATATGAATTTTCCACCTTGTATAAAAGTTGTTTTCTTAGATCGGGTTGGTAAATTGCTTAAATTCTACCCTTTGCCTGACTGAAACAATGCTATTTCTTTTGGCACACACTGTAAAAAATAAAACTGTTCAGTTGTTATCTCAAGGAGGAATTTGTACTTGATTTGGGCTGCATTTCCCACAAGCATCAAGCCTAGTAAAAACTAATAGCATGTATGGTTAAGTATAGCCATTTGAAACTAAGGCTTACAATGCTTTTACGAAACACAGCCCTGATTCTTTGAACTTTGATGTAGCTACTTAGTCAAGTTTATTCAGTCATATTAAATAACATTTTATCTGACATTTTAACGTTTTTTTGTGTCCATCTTGATACTGTTAATTTTGATGGTTGAATGGTTTAGTAGCCACTGAAACCAAGGTTTTTGGTTCAGTTACAAGGAAATGCATAAAAAAAGAGAAAAAAATGCAATGCAAGATGCTTTGTATAAAAGCATCTGTCAAATGCATAATTGCAAATGTAATCCAAATTGTTGTTCTTTGTTGCATGCGTGCAGATCATGTTATAAAGAACACTTTGTTATACCGTCATTGTTATACAGTTTGAATGTTATTCTGTAAAAAGTGTTGTACACATGTGCTGAAGTCATCTGCCTGTTAGGGATGTGCCGATACGAGTATCGGTACCGAACGGTTCACGGGGCAAATTCCACATGGAAGTGATCATCCCTATCCCCTTGGAGTGGGGACTTTGCAGTGAGTAGGGCACATGCGTGCCAGTCGTTTGGAATGCACTTGGCAAAGCGAGCAATGTAATTTCCTCATTATCTTCAGCTGACATGTTCCCGTGACAACGCAGCACGGTGTCCGTCCATGCTGCGTTGTCACGGGAACATGCCAGCTGAAGATATGAGGAAATTATAGCGCCATATCGGAATTCCCGTAATTACGAGATTCCAACTTGTAAAAAGCGTTCAGGTCCTGGTAGAACTTGTAATTGCAACTTGTGAACTGGGAGTTTTCTGAGAGCTAAGACTTGTACCATGTGACCACTGTACCACCTGACCACCGCAGGTTCTGTTTAGGCGTTGATAGTGTTGCCATAGAAAAGCATAATTCCATGTCACGTGCTGTCATCTCTGAAGTTACGGTAATTATGATATTGCATGAATGCAGCATATGTCACTGGCTTTGCCAAGTGTATTCCAAACAACTACATAATGGCACGCACGTGCCCTGCTCACTCCAAAGTCCCCACTCCAAGGGGATAGGGATGAACACTTCCATTTGGAATTTGCCCCGTGAACCGTTCGGTACCGATACTCGTATCGGCACATCCCTACAGCCTGTGTCTTATCTGATTGTTGTCGTTGGTAAAACCCCTCCTCCCGCCTCCCCCTGAGCGGGGCCCCGAGCCAGCCAGCAGCGCCGCAGAGTGTAGTTCACTCGGCCTGGGAAGAGGAATCGAGAGTAGTGGCGCGCGTCTCCAGGACAAGACCCAACAGTAAACTGACTCGGAATGGATACTCACGACACATATTTACATCTCCGTAAGTCGCCGTTTTTCTTCATTTCCTGTTGCTGCTCTTCTGTGTTATATTTGCGCAGTTGCCCGTGCTGTTTGACTAAAATGTGCACTTCTCGAAAGCGTTAAAACAACTTCGCTGATGAACTTCAGACAGATTATAGTCCTATCAGCCCGCGTGCGTTGACATCGGTCAGGTGATCGCGCCGCGGTTTACAGGTTGTTGGCACTTTAATTGCGTTTATGTAATCGATCACCTTTAAAGCACGCCTGTTGTGTCGGGATCGTTATTTATTGGTTTTGAGACGGTTTCCAACCGGGTATAGCATGTACACTTCACATAGGAACGAGTGTGTGTATAGTATAGGCTTGTATTTAAGCGCAAACTTTGTATTTCAACGCTCGCGGCTCGTTTCAGGAATGAGTGCGAATGACATGTTATTTTAGGCAAAGTCAAAGACAACTCCAGCAAGTTGTGGTGTTACAGAGTTGAGTGCAAGTCATAAAACTACGGTGGCCGAGAAGTGCAAAGCAAATCACAATTCCGAAAACAAAATAACAAATTACAAACGCATCACTCATATAAAGAGTTGCCAAATTGTCACGCCTAATTAAAGTGCTTGATGCTGTTAAAGGGGTCATATGATGTTGCTAAAAGGAACATTATTATGTGTATTTGGTGTAATGAAATGTGTTTATGCGGTTTAAGGTTCAAAAGGGCGTGGTTTCAGCAGCCAGCTCCCGCCTCTTTGCCCATTTTCGATTATCCGGGAGTGACACGCGGTGACGCGCTGCCAAGATGGCGACGGCTGGCTCCGCCTACTTTAGGCTTCAAAACGCTCCTCGGAAGTCTACGGGTTACGTCACGGGCACTACGTCCATGTTTTTACACAGTCTATGGTTGTGACTGGCCGAATACCTCAAGCGTGTGAATGAAATGTTATGCCCCTTACCATATTGTGATGCTGTGTCCCCGTGCGCCGCGTAAACATAAAACCATGTCTGCATTTGTGATCGGAGAAATGACAAACAACAAGCACTACTCTACACTTTTTCATTTAAATGTTAAGTTTTGAAATTTTGTTGTATGCATTTGTCATTTTTATTTAATCTCTTTATTTTTAAAATGTGTATATGTAGTATTTATAAAGTTTTAGCTTTTAGTTTTGGATCTGTTTTTAGTTGTTTTAATACTACAATTGATTGCTTCTGTTGTCCTCATTTGTAAGTCGCTTTGGATAAAAGCGTCTAATAAATGACTAAATAAATAAAATAAATAATAAATACTCTGCTCAAAACTCGCGTTTGAATCGTCAGTGGCAAATTCTTTAAATATGAAAACGTCCTTACAGGGTGTGAGTCAGAACAGCCGGCATTGTAGTCTACTGTACCAGGAAACAGTCCTCCATAAAATGTGCTGCACACATCTGAATATTTGGGTTGAACTGTTCTGGAACAGTGTTGTAAATACAACTTAACCACTGATTTCTAGTCGTGTCCTCTTTTGGAAGGCCAAACAAAGTATTTTCGCTTTCACAACGAAACACACAGCGTCTTCACAACATGGCGGCGGCGGTAGCAGCAACAATAAAGCTACGCCTTCTTTCTTTGCATGAATATTTGGGCAGCATTATGCAAATCTTCCCACATCGTGACGTAGACATGTGGGGGCGTGTTTAAACGAGGCGTTTTAGGAGGGCGTGGACGAGTCTTAACTTCTAAAAAGAATATCTCTTTGGGTTTGATACTTTAGTCTTTGCAACTTTAGGGATCTTATCTATTCACGAACCGCTTGTAACACTCCAAACTAAAGAGAAAGGAAAACTTGAAATCGCGTCATATGACCTCTTTAATCCAACTGACTTGACATTTTGAAGTCAAGATGTAATGAACTTAGTTATAATAATTATTTATATTAAAAACGTAACTGGAATACAATAGATTAGCACGTGTTATTGCATTATACCCTGTTGGAAAATCCAATTTAAGATATTTGCTTACAAGCTGGTTGACCAGCTATCATAGACCCAAAAACAGTTTGACCGTCTTATAGTATGACCAACTCGTTGCTGGTTCAAGATGGTTTACCAGTTTACACCAGCTAATGACCAGCTTGAAACTGTCTTCCATGTTCACAGCTACTTACTTAAGATGGATTTTCCTGCAGAGCAAGAATTCAGCCTACTGTACATATGCTTTAGAAGTAATATCAGATGTATTACGTATTGTTGATGAACCATATGTACCCAATACAATGTATTTTTACTCCGGGTCAGGGGTTTTGTAGTGCAAACACAAAAAATAGTATGTTATATTAATAAGTAGTGTTAAAGCTGTATTCAAGCATGATGAAATAAAAATGGGAAATAACAGTGAATAAATATAGAGTTATACTGTAAGCAAGCATATGATTTATTCATGTGCCACCATGATATCCGGGTTATTTATGTTACTTTTAACCAGGCAGACACACCAAGAGTTTTTAACTTTGAACATTAACCAGGTTAACAAGGTTAGATTAATCAGAGTTAATCACATTATTTGCTTTTGTAGTGAACAACTATACACATTCAGTTAATTTTTCATTTCATTTACAGTACATTAATGCGTTTTGTAGAAGCGACTTACATTGAATTTAAGATATACATTTTATTAGTTCATGCTTTTCCTAGGAAGCAAACCCATGACATTGACATTGCTAGCGCCATGCCCTACTGTTTAAACTACAGAAATCTTTAATGTCAATGAAGAAATCATTGAGCCTTCACTCTCAGCTCTTTCTTGTTGCCATAGGCTTTCTGAGAAGTGCCTATAGCTGACAACATTCCACCGCCTTTAACAATGCGAACCCACTCTGCAAGTCCAAAGACACATCGACAAGAAAACAGAAAGAACATATGTATTACAGTCGTTAGACAGGAGTGGCTCAGAGGCCTTTGTTATTGTCAGCTGTACACATGCTTTCAAAATGCTCACAGTGGTTTCTCTAGATTTCCTATGTGCTTTAGGCTTTCTACATGTGACTCACTGAGCGCAATCGCTCTTACCGTTACATTCATGGCTAGGAGAGTCAAAGAAGCCCAGCCAGGAGAAACAGAGGATATGTAGTCGATGAAAAAGAACATATTGGAAGGGTGAGTGTATGTATTCTTTTTGCAAATGTTTGCAAAAAGGGTCCTCATCATCACACTATTGGGGTGTATGTATTCATTCCATTAAAATGAAATGATTATTGAGATTAGTCCCTTTTTGCAGCAGTTTAACAATTCTTACGCACAGTCATAACCCTTATACTAGTGGTGCCGCTACTATAGCTGCTGTAGATAAACGAACTAACAGAGATGCTATTTTGTCCCTTAGCTCCTATTAGCTCCTTGTTCTGGATTTATAGACATTCTAGGGTAATGTAAGTCTGGGGTAAAGTAGACTAGGGCAAGGGTGGAAATCTATTTTGACCTACGGACGTGTTCGTGCCCTGATTGCTTCTCGGAGGACATGGTGCTTTGAAATGTTAGATGTGGACCCTTACATCACAGTAGCGGGTGAACTGTGTTCACGTGCTTGTCAACACGGGCTAAGAGTCGCATCTTTGACCCTCAAAGTCAGCTGTTATACACTAACGTTCAGAAAAATCTTTTGTTACAATATAAAAGTCTTTATTGTCACTTCTGATCAGTTTATTGCATGCTTGCTGAAAAAAAAAATGTAATTCTTTTAAAGGGGTCATATGATGCTGCTAAAAAGAACATTATTTTGTGTATTTGGTGTAATGAAATGTGTTTATGCGGTTTAAGGTTAAAAAAACACATTATTTCCCACATACTGTACATTATTGTTTCTCCTCTATGCCCCGCCCTTACTGCCCCCAAACTTTTGAACGGTAATGCACACATACTGTGTTACATAGTTGGACATATGACAGAGTATTTCTGCTTCAAAGACACACACTTCAGGCTTTGTATACATTTCGGAAAGTGTTTTTTTTTTTATTAATCAACCACTGAATCAATAGATACAAATACAATATACTGTAACAGAACATCAAAAAATATAACAGAACCAAGAATAAAAATAACAGCCAGGGGAAAGAAAACTCAATTTTAACCTAAATAAAGCAATACATTAAAGGATAATAAATAATAAATATGAAAGTTAAAAGAGGGGAAAAACATATGTAGTAATAATAAAAATAACAATAGAATATCAAGTAAACAAATGAATAAATAAAAACAAAGTAATCATTTTAAAAGGGAATCCTGAAAAAGGCGCAACAAGTCAGTGTTTTCCTAGTATTTTTCAATAGAGAGAGCGTTTCAAAATAGTGTTGCAGCTCTTTAAAAAACACCTTAAAATGTGGCTTATTATTGGAGAATTACACTTGTAGATATGATATTTGGCTAGAAGTAATACAATTATAATATAAAACTCTTTATCAGTATTTTTATCTGTATCAACAAAACCAAACAACACATCTTTCCAAAACAAAGAAAATTGAGAGTACACAAAGTTTTGGAATTTTTTTTTTTTTTTTTTAAGAGTATGGCCCTGTATGACGTCATAAAGTGCGGGATTCCTTGTATGGACACTTCTCCAGGAAGAGTGCACGCACTCATCAACCAGAGCAAAAGCAAGAGCACGCCCATCAACGTGCTTCATTCGGGTTACGGAAGTCTTCTGGATCGAATATATATGGCTGGATCTGATTTTTAGCCATAGCCAATTTAAGTCAATAAAGTTTTTGTTCCTGTTTCATTTATGTCAATGTCACAGTTTGCAGGCGATCGCTACGCAAAAGCTGTTTTCGGAGAGAAGCGGTACAACTGTATCTGTCTTTTATAAATCTGATAAACATGAGATGAAACTGTGTGTGTTATGTCTGCTTTAATGTGTAGGTTTATCAAAAGGATAAGTTACTATAAAAGATATTTCAGTGACTGATCATTTTGTTAGCAAAAGAAATGCATGAAGATGGAAAACCTAATACAGTTGTTTTGGTGATGAGGCTCCTTAATCTCTTCAGGCAGCTCCAATTGTGTCAATCTTCTGTGTGATCGTAACTCATTTCATTCAGAGAAATCCATGTGGGGCATTGCTTTTATTGGATGACATATTAAAGAGACTTTTTTAGATTCACCCTGAAGGCATTCTATCATGAAGGCAGTTCTACTGTCTTTCAGTGAAACTGTAATGGCATCAGCATTGATATATATTGTAGGCTTTAGTAGAAAGTCTTCATCATTGCAGTCATTTTAAGGCATCACTGTATTGAAATCTCTCAAAGCTTCTTTTTAATCTTTTTCTGCACAATTAATTTGGCTCATAATTCCCTTGACACTGACATGACCCACACTGATATCTCAGTCAGTAAATATAAAGTTGTAGTTATTTATCTTCATTATTTATTTATTTTTCACTGCTGTTCAAAAGTTTGGTTGATTTTTTTATATATATAATTCTCACCAAGGCTGCATTTATCTGATCAAAAATAGAGTAAAAACAGTAATACAGTGGGTACGGAAAGTATTCAGTATTAAATTTTTCACTCTTTGTTATATTGCAGCCATTTGCTAAAATCATTTAAGTTAATTTTTTTTCCTCATTAATGTACACACAGCACCCCATATTGACAGAAAAACACAGAATTGTTGACATTTTTGCAGATTTATTAAAAAAGAAAAACTGAAATATCACATGGTCCTAAGTATTCAGACCCCTTGCTCAGTATTTAGTAGAAGCACCCTTATTAATTAAACTTTTAAATAACTGTTTGTTAATAACTGTGATGGCAAAGCTGCATTTTCAACAGCCATTATACCAGTCTTCAGTGTCACATGATCCTTCAGAAATCATTCTAAAATGCTGATTTGCTGCTCAAGAAACATTTCTTCTTATTACCAATGTTGAAAACTGCTTAATATTTTGGTGGAAACGTTGATACATTTTTTCAGAATTTTTTGATGAATAAAAAGTTCAAAAGAACAGCATTTATTTGTCTCTACTGTCACTTTTGATCAATTAAATGCATCCATTCTGAATAAAAATATTAATAAAAAAAAAATCTCCAAACTTCTGAACGTTATCTAAAAATATCGTCTTTTTTATTTTTCAACATTTTTCTTTTTTGGTAAATTGTCTTTAAACTGTTCTGTGCTAATGTAGTACATTATGCAGCATGGCACAAAAACAAGCAGTGTCTGAAGTTACAAGTGCTTTAGATAATGAACACAAGCAGGTGTGTGAGAGGAGGCTGCCAGGCTTGGCTGTGAACTGTGCGTGCATGTGTGAGAGAGCGCGGTCATTGCCACTTCACTGCTCTAATAGAAGCATTGATGTGCCCATCTTACTGTGATTTATTATGGTAAATTATAGAATGTTATTGATAATCAGATGTACTCTAAATTTATAGTAGTCTTAAAATCTGAATCTAACCAAGCTTTTTTTATTTGAAACACACACTCAAGCACACTTCACCCCTGGCCATGCAACAGGTGGCCCATTTGGGCTGATAGATTTAATGACACTCTGAGCCTCTTTCTGGGCAGACTGCGGTCTGTGCAGAAGGAGTTTTGTCAAAGCTTGGAGAGAGGCTGATCTTTGTGGCAATAAACGGTTCCTGCTGGATTCAATCGTTGATAATCCAAGTAATCCCATAAACGAGCAGACTCCTCCCTGCAGATCCTCCCCCTACAGCCGTCCTGTTTCACTCATATCCCATCTGTTCCATCAGCAGAGTGAGTCTGTGTTCGGACAGGTGCTTGGTGAGGTTTGGTCGAGTGGTGCTCGCAGTCATGTGGCATCCGGCAGCGTTGCCTCTTCACGGTCAGAGTCACGGCAGAGAGGACGGTCACTACAACACCCGTGAGTATCAGATAATAAGATACTCCTGTAATACTTAAGTTCACAGGAACAACGCGGCTGATGCATCCTAAGGGAAGATGAGAGAATCGTGCTGTTGGAAATAACTTGGGAAAAAATGTGTTTGACTGATTTCATAATCTGATTAGACTGTACATGGATACGTGCATTTTAGAGATGTGTTGATATGTTGTGTGGTTTATTGTCATGAGTAAAGAAGCTGTTGTTATTTCTAAGCAAGGGAATACACGGCTCACATTCATAACTGAAATTGGTTTGTTTTTACATTACCAAATGGAATTAGAAAAATGATTATTATTTTCAAACAGGTCTCCGGTTCTCTTTGTCTGCCATTGGTTGGACAAATGGATAGTCCCACCCCAAATTCATGTTGGAGACATGAGTATATTTTAACATTGAAAGAATTCTACAAAATCTAACCCATAAAAAATACTTTCATTCATGTAACTAATAGTCACGTTGATTGTCATATTTAATAATATTTTACTTAAAGCCAATTATCATATGAATAATATATTTATGTACACTACCGCTCAAAAGTTTGGGATCAGTAAGTCTTGTAATGTTTTTTTAAAGAAGTCTCTTATGCTCTTCAAGGCTGCATTTATTTGATCAAAATTACAGAAAAACAACAGTAATCTTGCAAAATGTTATTACAATATAAAATAATGGTTTCTATTTTAATATACATTAAAATATAATTTATTCCTGTGATGCAGCGCTGAATTTTCAGCATCATTACTCCGGTCTTCAGTGTCACATGATCCTTCGGAAATCATTCTAATATGCTGATTTATTATCAGTGCTGGAAACTGTTGTGCTGCTTAATATTTTTTTGGAACCTGTGATACTTTTTTCAGGATTCTTTGATGAATAAAAAGTTAAAAAGAAGAGCATTTATTAAAATAGAAATATTTTCTAACAATATACACTACCGTTCAAAAGTTTGGGGTCAGTCAATTTTTATTTTTTTTGAAAGAAATTAAAACTTTTATTCAGCAAGGATGTGTTAAATTGAAGAAGTGATAGCAAAGATTTATATTGTTCGAAAATATTTCTGTTTTGAATAAATGCTGTTCTTTTTCACTTTTTATTCATCAAAGAATCCTGTTTCTGTAATTTTGATCAAATAAATGCAGCCTTGATGAGCATAAGAGACTTCTTTAAAAAACATTACAAGTCTTACTGATCCCAAACTTTTGAGCGGTAGTGTATGTTTTTTTTTTTTTTACAGTGCACATGGTGAAAGTTTGCTTGTTTTTTTTTTTATTATTATATTTTTTTTATTGTATTAAACACTACAGTGTTTTTGAAAGTCTTATGATCACCAAGACTGCATTTATCATTTATTTGATCAAAAATACAGTAAAAAATAATATTGTAAAATATTATTGTAATTTAAAATGGCCGCTTTTTTAAATATTTAAAAATCTAATTTATTCCTGTGATGTTAAAGCTGTTGATTTTACACTATTGATTAGACAGTTGCTTGGCATGTCATCATGGCTTGTGTGTAATTAATCTGTAACCTCTGCTCTCAGCCGTTGGCAGTGAGAGTACTTGGCAAAGCTATGTTCTCTAATGCTGTTCAGCTGTTATAGATTAGGGTAAGGTGGCACTGGAGTATTGTGGATATTTTAGGAAGGTCTGCTTGGATCAATCTATTTCAGTATATCCCTATATTTCTCACACACTCACTGTACTTCACCCTCTCACTTCTTTGCTTTTCTTCTGTTTCTCTCTGACAATAGTTCTGTTGAGGGGCGTTTGTACGGTGGCCGAGAGAGCTCAACGCGCTGCAACTTAAGAAAACACATGCAAATTGAAAAAACACCAGCAAATTAAGAAAACATCTTCATCAGTTTGACAACACAGGCGCTGCAAATCCTCACAACACATGCAAATGAAGAAACGCGCTGCAAATAGCACGGACCACAACGGAAATGTTTCAAGGGGACCCAAAAAAGTGAGAGGATTTGCAGCGCGTGTGTTGTCAAACTGACGAAGATGTTTTCTTAATTTGCTGGTGTTTTTTCAATTTGCATGTGTTTTCTTAAGTTGCAGCACGTTGAGCTCTCTCGGCCACCGTACGTTTGTGTGGGTGGGTGTGTGTAAATACTTGGACTGACAAAGACAAACTCCCATTTGATCGCATAAGAGAAAGCGGTGACAGAAGTTGTTGTCGCTCTCTGTTGTTCTTTCTCTTTCTGTTTCTATCTTTCTTTGAGAGGTGTCAATGTTGACGAAACAAATAAAACTTGCACAACACCTACATAGTAAGTGAGCCTGCATGGAAGTTTGCATGTATATCTCATTCTTCAAATTAATATTACGTATAAGATTACATTAATTTACCTTGGAGTACATCTAGGTGTCTTTAATATACCATATATATGATGTTTTGGAAGGTACAGCTGAAACATACATTACAAGTATGTGGACAGGCCTTAACGGGTTTGTCTATGCCTCTTAATTCTAGTGATGACAAATCTTAAAGGGGTAGTTCACCCAAAAATTAAATTTCTGTCCTCATTTTCTCACCCTAATGTCTTTCTAAAGTTGTATAACTTTCTTTTTTCTGTGGAACACAGAAGAAACTGTATTTGACCATATTGTGAAAGTCAAAACAACACTGGACCCCATTGACTTTCAATGTATGGACAAAAAAAAATCACCAGTACCTGACCTCATTGATGCTTGTGATTCCCTGTAGTTTCGTTCCAAGGTATGTGAACACCTTTCCAGAAGAGTAGAAACCGTTAGGGAGGACCAGCATTAGTGCCTGGTTTTGTGATTATGAAGCACATACGGGTGTGGTGTATATACAGTGCACAGCATAAATGAGTACACCCCCTCTGAAACTTAACAAATTCAGCAATTACTCTTTGCTTAGAAGACATGTTTTGGTTTTTTAGAGATATAATATTCCAGCAAGTCTGCTTGATCAGTTACCAAAGAAGAATGTTAAAATTATTCAAGAAAATACCATTTTCTTATCAAAGTGATAAAATGTTGTGTATCATTTCGGATCTAACAGCATCCAAAATGTTCTGGTGTTACTAGAGGAGGAGTACAGAGAGAAGTGCCTGGTTCCCACAGTGGCAAATCCTTCAGTGGACATGTATTTCACTCAATCATAACACTCTTGAGCTGCTGTAAGAGATTCTGTACACTCTTAAAAATAAAGGTGCTTCACGATGCCATAGAAGAGAACGTGGCTGTTCCCCCTGTTGAGGAAGTCCAGACGTTCCTCTCGTTGATAGCAGAGGAGCGGATCCAGCGAGAGCTTGATGGGGTGACGCG